TGCGACAAGCGATAACGAGCGGCAGCCAATTGATTTGACAAGCATATCGCGAAAGTATAAGATAGATGTCTTGTCTAGCTCTAATTCCAGTGTCAGCAGTACCTTGCTGGACCACGACGACAGGTGAATATAAGGACGTTATTGTTAAGACGTTCTTCCTGAGCTGGATTATTCTCATTAAATTATATTTATTGTTAGTTTTCATTCTTTTTTATACAAGTTAGGCCAGTTTGTTGTTTATTGAAATTTATTAACGAAATTCCTATAATTAATATAAATTAAATGGGACTTAGGATATTAAAAAAAAATTGATTGAATTAATTTGAAATATTAAGATATATAGTAATAGAACTGTTTGGTGAAATATGAACGATTCATATTTTGGTGGAATTATTTAATCTTTTCATTGTATATTTTATTCGCAGATCGACTAATGGCGCGTTGAGTGCAGATGCGAGAAGAGTAAGTGAGAAGTTTTTAATTATTGTAGAACAAAAAAGAGATAGAAACGTGCGAAATATAAAATGAGAAATTTTTGTAATAATACACTGAAAAAAATGATTAGCTATTACAGCAAATTAAATGATAAAATATGGCACAGCATTTTTAATCGACTGCTGTAACCAACGTTATGCCATACTCAGCCAATTTTTTCTTTCAGTGTATTAAACCGAAATATAGATATGAAAGAAACAGATACAATGAAATTTCTGGCATTCTTTCCCTTTCTCCTTTTTCATTATGATAATGCCATAAATTAATTTATGTTAATGCTGTAAACGACGTTATAAATTAACGCAGTATTGCGACCAAACATTATCGCAACCGAATTATTTAACCGAATTGCTCTACAAAACAATATAACGATACAATTCTGTTGTAATTGAATTTTATTGTGCAATAAAATCCAATGTTTGGTAATAATTAAAATTTCGCAATAAGAAAAAATTCTTGATTGGAAGATATTATATCGGCAAATTAACTTGATTCTCGATTTCAGGTCGGGACTACCCCTGAGACGTCTCATTCTGAGGGAGAACTGTACATGCCGAGCTCGTGCTCGTATTCCCTCGGCGAGGTGCGCGTCTTAAGAAGGAAATACGATTTGATCGAGGATAATACGATGGATCGTGATAGTAGTATGAGGGTTTTCGTCACCAGGAGTATGCTAACATCCTTGAACGATTCCACGATGGTGAGTGTATCAAAAAGACACAAGGAGGAAGTCGTTAATACGTACCTTACACAATCAATAATACTGTCAACATCAATAAATACTAACAATATTATTGATCATGTCTAGTTAATATTGATGGATTGGTGTAGAACACTGCTGGTTCTTCATTTTTAAGTATCAGTATTACAGCGATGATGTTCGAGAATCAAGAAATCCGGAACTGTCAATAATATCGTTACTTTACTTCCAAAGTGATTTAACTCAAAGATGTGGAGTTATTACTATGAATAAGTTAGATAAAGATTGCGCTCAACTGTCGAGAGTAAACTAATTTAATTTAAGTCCGTCCGCAAAAAAGCACTTGTGTTGTTTTTTAAGATATTTAAAGAGATCATAATACTTTCTACAAATGCAACACAGGAATTGTGTCGTTTTTATAAATAAACAAAAAGGAGAATCTTCTATAGAGAACATTTGGAATTAAGACAGTTTTTATGGATCGAAGTTCAAAGAAGAAATTATTTTATTTTGAATTAGTCATTTTAACTGAACTTAAGATAAACATAAACTATTGATAGATATTTCGAGTTGTCATTTTTAATGAATTATTGTTATAATTTCGTAGAATATCAAAATCGTCATTCAAAAAGAGTTTAAGGATTGTAAAACGAAAATTTTGAAAATATTTGATCATATTTCTAAGAGTATTTTTTTTACCAATATTATTTCATTAGTCTTTATATATAATTTATAATTGTTGTTAATATATAATTGTCTGTTATGTTGAAATAGCTTTCCCACTTTTCTGAAAAATTTCCCAACAAATATATCAAGAGAGCTGAAATATTATCAATAATATCGATCATGTAAGGTTACAAAAATATTGATGCGTACTATCAGTGTTACTAATTCAATAATATTAAACAGTATTATTGATTGTGTAAAGGTCTATATAATGTTCTATAAACTCTCATTTCTCTTGCAGTCTCTTCTGGGAAGCTCCGAACGTATTTAGAATGAGCCGCAGATTCTACGGCGAGACGCGTGACACTTCGACTTATCATAGATGACATTCTTTTCAATTTTTACTTATATTCGATTTTTTACTTATATTGCGATAACGAGCTGTGCTATCGATTGATACAGGACATTTTAAACATTGCAAATGCTGCAACGTTCTTGCGATATTGTTAGAAAATTTTATGTCACATGGCTTGTAATATATATTTCTGTAATTGTTAAAATTGTTACAATATTGCTATTCTGTGTTGCATAAAAAATATTCTTTCATCGTGTGATTTTAATTATCAAAAAGACTTAATTAAAGTTACGCGTATGGAAGTAGACATATTTTGTTTAATTCTTCTTCGGTAGTTGAATCTTAAAAACACAGTCAATTTTTAATAATTGTGAAAATTTTGATAAACAAATATAAATCACGTTAAAAAATAAGTAAAATATGATCCAAAATTTCTACGATATTAAAAATTTGTAGTTAAAGCTTTCATAAGTCTGTAAGAATTTTTTCAGAGTAATTTTTTACATCCGAAACAATATAAAAATCTACACTGAATTTTGAAGACCCAGATTGTAGACGAAGAGTAAAAATGTTATTTCCGACGGAGGGTTAATTATAAAAACAAATAGGGAAAAAAAATTGATAGTATACAGTTGTAATCTTTAAAGTTAAGAATCAATAAGATAACAGTGTAACAGTCATATCAAATATAACATATATTTATATATATAAAATATATAAAAATGTATTTGCAGATAAAATCAAATGTTATCTGTATTTATAACCCTGCATTTATCGCACTTTACACATACTTAAATTTTTTACGATAACACCGTAGAAAAATTACGGCGTTCTCGTAACGATCACGTAAGCTTCGCAGCGCAGAAAAGCCAACGTACTTGAACGACCTAGAGAATAACATTCGAGTAACAAGTTGCATCCTTCTACATTCTTCAAATATCGCGGTCGTAAAACCGGTGATACCGGCTACACTCGAAAGTCGAAAACCGATCGGAGGAGCGCGTGTTTACTTGGTGATCACGCACGTCCGATAAGAGGTACACTTCCGGCGGCATGTGCAGCGTGTGCTGTGCAGTGTGCGAAAGGTAAACAATAGGATTGGCGACACCGACGACGAGCGACGTGCGACGAGAGACGAGCAGGGAAGACGATTGAGCAACCGAAAGGACGGAGATTTCGTTTCTTCGGCGAAGAGGTATCTTTTCGACGACGGCTATCGAGGGACAATCGTGGAAATACGGCGAGTTTCAACGGCGTTAGAACCTAACCTCGTTTCACCGCCACGCTGCCCAAGTATGAGCCAGACCTCGCGGAGACTCGTTGGAACGGTGCCGCGAGGATGAAAGCTGCCGACAGTCTCGTTCCAGGGACGTACAAACACGAGGGACGAGTGCCGTCGATCGAACGCCGATCCGCACGTGGTCGGTGATCGGTGTCAGCGCGGCATGGCCAGCACGAGCGAGAAAGGAAGAATGTACGACAAGTGTGTCATCGGTTACTGGGTGCCCGAGAGAAAACGGCAGAAGTTCAACTGGACCGATTTCGAGAACATATGCGAGTCCGAGGGGTTCCGGTTGAAAATGGTGAGTTAATACCCGCCTCTGACATGCGATATTGATGAGCAGAAACATTTCTAGAAAAGAAAGAAATCTCTCTTGAGATGCGAGGCATTTCCTGTGCTTTGAAAAATGAGTGCTTATGAAAAATAAGTGATAAATACATTTTTAAATGTAAAAATAATTTTTTTTAAACCAAAATAAGTTACTAATCAATCTCGTGTACAACATATATAAAAGTTTTAAAAAAGGTCAAGAAAACAAGCAGTCAAAATTTAAAAAAAATTAGATGTTAATTTATTAATATTTCTTGGAGATAAAAAATCATAAAAGCTGTATGTATCGACATCAAAAAGATTTTAATACGTTTCGACAATACAA